TTAGGTGGACAAGTTCACGTCATATTTGAACACCACCAAGACGTGAAGAAGATCCCAACAAAGAGCCAACCAACCGGTCCTCACCAGGAGGAACGAAGAAAAACAAAGAAAAGATTGTTCGGCCGCAGGAGGAACAAATCGTGTCGAATACTCAACCACCTGAGCCTTCTGTGAAGCCTGTCGATATTTATAAGCTGAAATTCTTATTTGGGATGGTAAATTCGTATCTTTGGTCGATCCGTCATGCATTTTTGCTAAATATTCATATTGATATTATCGTTTTGTTTATTTTTTTTAGTAGTATGGCACTTCAGTTCAAAAATATGATTTTTTTCTGAGTGTGACACTTTATTTCATAGTGCAGCTATATTGTATCAGATATTTTGAACCAAATTCAAGTGAATGACAATGTTCTGTTACATGATTGAATTCAGGTGATTGTTCTGGCATTGGATGCTGCCAAACAGCTATCCCAGGAGGTCTGAAGAACTTCAATTCGTACGTTGGCGTGTTAAATAGTCACAGAAACATTTGGCCTCTCAACCCGTGTGGCTATGCCTTTCTCGGTGACCCGAGCAGATATGAATTCGGCCTCACGGACCTCAACGACACGAGTTTCCAGACCAGGACCATAGAGCACGTGTCGGGATTTCTCGAGTGGGCAATTGGTGCAAGAAATTGTAGCGAAGCCGTGAGTTCAAACGGTTATGCGTGCCTCGAAAATACTTGTTGTGTTGATTTTGAGCCCAGTCTCCGAGGATATAGATGCAGTTGTTTAAAAGGGTATCAAGGAAACCCATATCTTAGTCCTGGCTGCACAGGTAATTTAAGTCCTCCGGGATTAAACCGAACATTCGACTTTGGTTTTGGACGCATTACTAAACGAAAATTGGTGTTTGGTTTATTATGCAGCTACGAGTGTGCAAACAATCTTTGTGTTGATAACGGGATTTGCACGAATACTCCAGGTTGTTTTACCTGTACTTGCAACAGGGGATTTTTCAGTGACGGCACAGGAGAAGGTCGTGGTTGCATTGTCGTGGTTGCATTGCCGAAAACAGGGGATTTGACTCCTGTTTGAATTCTATATGCACGAGTTTTGGTTTCTTGGCCTTCATAATAGCTATTGATAAATGGATAGCACTTGACGTAAGAGGGAATAAGGTATTGATAAACGATGATATCAAAGATGATACCTTTGATTAACTAACATTGGAACATGGTATTTTGCTTTCTGTTTTTAAATGTTGTGAATTCATTAGAACGACCTTTTTTTTTTTTTGTCAATATTGTTTTTTGTGGAGCATTTTTCTTATATTAAAGTGGTCAATGTATCCCATGGAGGTTTGAGAACAAGCAATATGATAATTGTTGCTTGTAAAGCATTTTACTGGCGTTTGTGTTCTACTTACACGGGGCCAGGATAATTTGATGTACGAATAAATCTTGGAATTCATCTCCAACATATCTATAATTAGTACAATATTGAGATAGAATGGATAAATCAACTGTTTCATTCTCGGCTACAATAAACCCTAAACCCTAAACATGTTAACTTGGTTCTCGCGAGTCTGTTGCATTGGTAAAGAAAATGCAAATTTATGACGATTACTTAACTTTAATCTTTTCAAAAATCATATTTTTAAATTTTT